CACAGGTCCTTCCTATTCTAGTCATCCCTTGCCTTCCAGCTCAACCAGGTATTTGTGAGAGGCTGGCCAGAAACACAAACAGGAAACCCAGCAAGGCCAGCCAGGTTCCCAGGGATGGGCTCTCAACCTCAGCTGCTGATTGGACTCACTGAAGAATTAAGGAAACAAAATTAAAAAAAAAAATTTTTTTTGTTGTTTTACCTGTTTCCAGTCTGCCTTCTACCCCCCTCTGCCAGGTGCAGGCATTTTGTTAAAGCTCCCCAAGGTGACTGTAATATGCAGCCTGGGGTGGAGTGGTAATGAGAAAATCAACGCACTGCACCAAAGCACTGATTAAACACCTACAGTATGGAAACAGAGGAAGGAGTGCAATTACTTTCCACAGAAGAAGTCTAAGGAACATCTCCCCTGCAGCTGAAGAGAAACTCCCTTTAGAGAGTTTTTGCTGAAAGACACATCTCCCAAATCACAAACAGCAGTGGGAGCTAAAGAACACATGATTAAAAATGAGAGGATGCCTAATGGCTGAACTGGAATACAGCAAAGAAACTTTTGTTAAATGATTCTTCATTTCAGGCAGCTGAACCCTGATGGCATGACCTCTGACAAAAATTTCAACCATCCTTTTGAAGGACAAATAACAATCAGATTCCCCCTTAAATCACTGTCTTTGGGATAGGAAAGCTGCTTGGGTTGGCCCCAGACAGTGCCATTGGGAGATGGATGAAAGGGCAGCCACCAGCCTACTGACTGAAGAGATCACACAGAAAGCTGTGTGAGGGAGTGCCCAGAGCAACAGCCAAGGGTAAGATAGACAAGGCAGAAGCCTAATGCAGCTGCCCAGCTCTCCTGTCCTGCAGGCAGCCCAACACAAGGCAGGTGTTGGGGGATTTCTGGGGAGTGGATGAGTAAATTTCCAGTCCCTTAATATTTCTAATAAACCCTCTTAAAAGTCCAAAAGAGGCTCATGTAGGGTTGGGGAGGAAGAGACTCTTATTTTTTTGTTTGTTTCTGGCAGAGCCATTGTGTGCTGTGAGAACTGGTGATAGTAGGGTAACACCTAATCTTTCACGTCCACCACAAAAGGAGACTTACTCAGCAGAAAAAAATTCCAGTTTAGGAGGTCCCTGGTATTGTGGCATACTGGGTATAGTTTCCACCAATGGTACCAGAATCCCACATGGGCTCTGCTTCATGTCCTAGCTGCTCCAGTTCCAATCCAGCTCCCTGCTAATGGCCTGGGGAAAGCAGCAGAAGAAGCCCTAGTGCTTGAGCCCCTGCATACATGTGGGACACCTGGAAGAAGCTCTTGGCTCCTGGCTCCCTGCTTTAGTCTGGCCTGGTGCTGGCTGTTGTGGCGATTGGGGGAGTGAACCCATGGATGGAAGATTTCTGTTACAGTGCCACACTTAATAGAAGACACTGTATTGTCTTTTTTCAATGAACTTGATGCCATAATATAAGTACATGTCCTTCTTTTTGAAGAAAAGGACCTGCTTCCCTATGAATTCTGCTTACACTGCACAAGTTGTTCTTACTTCACAAATAGAAATCAAGTCATTATTGAGCTAAGGATTGCAGATCCTGGGCCAGTGACTGGGTATTCAGATTTGTTGTATTATTATCATTATTAAATGATTTTCTACTAAGGAGGAAAGAAACATTTCACTGAACACTTATGATTCCAAGAACCTCAGTACTGACACCTGGATGTGTTGAGCTAAAAAGAGAAATCCAGCATCTTAATAAACTAAGTTTTTCAAACCAACTATGGATGGAACCTGGATATACTTGGTTCCATTAAGGCTCTGATGCAGACAATGCCCGGATTCCATGTAAAGGAACAGAATGTGTCCCCATATCTGTCACACTTACAGGCTGACACTATTTTTCTAGGTCCAGTTTGCCTCTGAGAGCAGGTAGCAGAAATTCACACATGAAAACACACTCCTAAAGACAATGTTCAAAATTCCACAGGCAGCCAGTTTGGCGGTCTGCATTTCTCAAAATCCAGTCCTCGTGATCGAAGTGATTCAGTTTATGACCTTGCTGATCTCATTCCTTACGCCAAGTAATGATAAGGCTGTGATCACAGAAACAGGCACAGCATCATAAACAAGGGAGGATTCCTTCTAGAAGGAATACTGACCGGAGTGACCAGCTTGCCCTCACAGAGGCGTTCAGAATACAGAGCTATGCAGAACTGGACAACTTGTGTTGCAACTCCTAGCAATGTGCCCACAATGGAAGGAGAACGCCTCTCCAGGCCAGCCCATATCAGCAATGTCTCTTCATTTCAAATAATGAGCTTTGAAAGTGCCACCCAGTGGTTCTGGCCTAACTTTGCATCCCAATGCACATACAAATGCCTTCTCTCTCCACTTCCTGTGATGAGGGTTCAGTTCCCTCCTCTCTCACTGACTCCATCTTCCCCACTTCCTTCCAGGACACCCTGAATTTACCAAAGCTTCCCCCCCCAGGTCCACTCCTATGTCTCTGCTCATTTTCAATGTCTCTTTTTCACATTACTGACTCTTAAAAAAAGGACTCCCATAAATGACTACCCAAAAATTAAAATTTTAAACCAATTTTTTCATAACATAAGCTAACAAGGCATATCAGACCAACAATTTTTACTATCCGAGATAGATAGTTTGAATGAAAACTTTAAAAAGACTTTTTCTCTCGTTTCACTGTAAAACCTGGCCGGCCCCTAGGTGGTGCTAAGTCTGAATCTGTCCTCTCAAATTTAGCCTGTGAGGCACTCCAGTGATCCAGCGTCCAGAGCACATCTTCAGAACTTACAGAGCTTATTTTGGAGCAATGAAAGCACAGGAAAGCAAGCCAGGCAGGGACAACAATTTTTGCACACTTTCCTATTTCCAAACATGTACATATGCATGCATTTGTCTATTTCTGAAATACACAAACATTCCTGCATTCCCTTCAAATTACAACGCTTGCTATAATCTGGAAGTACGTGAGAAAATAAGTGTCTCTGACTTCGAGACTAGTCTCCCTCCCCCATCCCACCCCCCCACCCCACCCACCCCCGCTACTAGTCTTAAATCCTTGTAGATGAAAGTTTAACTGAATCAAAAGCCAAGTTGCCTGAGGTTTGGGATAATGGCTCCCTACGATTATATCTGAGAACAATCCAGCTTATCCTTATGAGGGGAAGTAGAAGACATGCAGCACCCACAAGTTAAAAAGTCACACAGGGAAAACTAAGGGATTGCCCTGACTCCAGACGTCATGAGTGTGAAAGCTGGAGGCCAAAGTTACGCACTGAGAGTCCAGGATCACTGAGATGCTGTGACACAGCCACACCTGTCCTTGGGAAAGGCTCCTGACATCCACCTGCTGCTGAGGACAGGGCAGGATCTCTCGTCCCAGCACTGTGGTTGGCACAGCTCCTTCCTGGATGGACTAAAGGGCTGCAAAGACACGTGTGTGTGTGTGTGTGTGTGTGTTTCTACCTCCTTGGAGCCTCTGCCACTCCATCATTCCCAGTGATGGCCACAATGTAACCCAGCATGACTTGAACTTTCCATTTGGGGACAAGATTTATCTAATATCTAATAAGCATTCTACACTTAATCAAAAAAGGATGAGCCTCCCCATCCTCACCACTGCCCAACCTTAAACCCATTACACTAACATCTCTAACATCTTTGGATTATTGAGATGTTAAGACATACTTTTAATTCTTTGTCCATCTGCCATGTGGATGAATTATTTATTGGAAGATAGATATGCTTTTAATTTTAATAATTCATGGGTAAGACAGGTAACATTTTAAGGTGCTACTTAATATAAAAAATGTGGTTTTAGCTTTCCACTGCTGGCCAAATGTTTAATTAAATCAGAAACTTTTCTTTGTGAGTTAGAGAATTAGACCCAGAGGAATTCTCATAACCCCACTAGTATTAACAGTTCTTTTTCTGTCAGGTTTTTCCATTGGATTTTTTAATTAAGCAAGAGGAAAAAAAAAACTACAATAGTAAATGATTAGCTTTACCACAGCGTGGACTTCCTTCTATTGAATATTACTGTAAGAAAGACAGATGACATTCACACCAGTTGTAAAAACTCTTTTTATCTTGGAGAAATATAAATGTTTGACTTACCTTTTTAAGTTAGAAAAAAAATGTAAGCTGTGCCCAGCAGAACAGATGTATAACTTGGTTTCATGCTTCATATTACAGAGATAAAGGGTAATAGAAGAGAAAAAAAAAGACAGATGCAACAGAAATAGGGGGAAAGAAGGAGGAAGAAAAGAAAGGGAGAGAAGGGCAGGCAGCTGGCACAGCAGTAAGGCCCCATCTGGGACACCCACAGTCCACATCAGGGTGCCTGCAGTCAACCCCAACTCCAGTTCTGATTCCAGCTTTCTGGTAACCCATGCCCTGAGCAGCAGCAGGTGGTGGTGGTTTAAGCACTCAAGTCCCTGCTGCCCATATGGGAGACGTAGGTTGAGTTCCCAACTCCTGCCTCTAGTCTAGCCTCATCCAGTCCTGGCTGTTGCAAGCATTAAGGGAGTAAATTTGTGAATGGGAGCGTTTTCTCTATATCTCTCTGCCTCTCTTTTTCTCTGCCTTGTAAGTAAATTAACAAAATTCATTTCTAACAGAGAGGAAAACAGGTAAGGAAAGAAAGTGAAAAAGAAGCCAGACACACCAGAATTAGAAAAAGGCCAGAGCTAATGCTCCCTTTCATCCCATAGCCATGTGTCCTCTGAATGTCCCCTGACATGTCACTGTCCTTTGAATGTTGGTGAGCACAAGAAATGCAGTTCACACTCTCTTCACTGCGACCATTCAATCTGGAGGATCCCTCTTTGGGAGGGATAATCACCAGTACATGAGACAAAGACAGCAATGGCCTAAGCAAGTGTTCCTGGAGCCCTGAGAAACTGAGTTGTGCCTGATCTGTGCCGGGCCTTAGTTCTCCAACCCCCAGAAGCAGTCCTGGGACCATGGCCTGGCACCAGCACTTACCTCCTCGACCATCTGCTTGACCTTCTTCTGCTGGCAGTGCACCATATCGTCAAGGTGTCTGATGCGCTCCCGGAGGCTGGCCGATGCTTCCTCCAGCTGCTGATACCTAACACAACCAACAGAAAAGGAATTTCAGTCCTAAACCAACGCAGAAAGGTGAGCTTTGAAGAAAAACGGCCACTGATTTGAAGAGACAACTGGACTGAGACAGTCTGAAAATGGAGACGAGGGTGGAAATTCCTTCTTAGCCCTAAGTGGCCCATGAACCAACACAGTCAGTTACCTTAAAGAGGCTTCTGAAGGACTGGCATGACGGCTCAACTAATTCTCTGCCTTTAAGCACTGGCATCCCATATGGGCAATTGGTTTGTGTTCTGGCTGTCCACTCTTGTGACCACTTTTGATCTAGCTCCTTGCTTGTGGTCTTGAAGAGCAATCAAGGATGGTTCAAACTGTTTGGACCCCACACCCACATGGGAGACCTGGAGAAGGCTCCTGAATCCTGGCTTAGGATTGGTTCAGCTCCAGTCATTGTGGCCATATAGGGAGTGAACCAGCAGATAGAAGACCCCTCCCTCTAACTCTCCTTCTCTCTGTAAATCTGCCTTTACAATAAAAATAAAATAAATCTTAAGGTGGGGGTTTCTGAGTCTTAAATGCCTATGATGTAGTGTTACCCTGGCACCTGTTCTGGGTTTTCTTTCTCTTTCACCTGGTTAACAACCAAATTCTTTCTTAAAACTTGACATTCTTTTTCCATGTCTTTGAGATTTCCTACCCCATCTCAAAGATTTTAATCATGTTTCAACGTCATTGTGCTTCTTTTGCAGATAATTTCAACTAGATGTCTCTTTGAATGAGTGAGTTGAATATTGCCCTTATCTCTTCACTACAAACATTTGCTTCTGTCTACATTTGACATATACACATACATGTGTGTGTGGTTTAATATGTCAACATATACATTAAAGTCTACACATGTGTTTGTATACTGCCAAGATGGTGTCAAATTGACTTTAAAATATTTGAGTACTCCCTTGTTAGACAGTTAACCCAAATGTTTTTCAAGCTCACATGACTTAGGGTAAAAACAGACCTACTGGAACAAGCATTTGCTGCAACATTTAACCACCGCTTGGGATACCTGCACCACTTATCAGGGTGCCTGAGTTCTGATCCCAGCTTCACGCCCCTCTCCAGCTTCCTCCTAATGTAGAGTTTTAGAGGCAGCAGGTACTTAGATTGAGTCACTGGCTCCTGGGTTTGGTCTGTCCCAGTTCTGACTGCTGCAAGTGTTTGGGTAATGAATCAATAGATAGAAGGCCCCTCTCTGCCGTCAAGAAAATATGTCTATCAGCATTAAATATAATTTAGTCATACTTTGTTACATGTTTAAGGTCATAAAAATAGGATTATGACTTAAGAATGGACAAATCAAATAGACATAAATGGAACAAAAGTATAAATGTGCTTCTACTAGAAATTATGTTGTAAACTATGTTTGCTTTAAAGGTTTCTCTAATCTCTTTGATAACTACATCCTTTTAGCATTACTAAGTTAAATAAAATGTCAGATATTCATTAACTATCTAGGTCATTTCCAAGTAGATAAAATACTCAAATATTGGGAAGCACAAATTCAAGCGTATTTACTTCTTGGATTCTTAAAATTATGTATACTCTGAGTATGTGTGTATGAGTCTGCTAATAAATGTGTCATATTGTTCTATGAGAAAACACTATAAAGAAAATTTTAAAATGGTACCCATCCTTAGAACACTAGTTTACAACTACCAAAGATTAAGGCTGTGGTTAATATCAGTATTTAAAATGGCTAAAGGAAACACGTAGCTTGCATGCTGAATGTAAATATGTTTTTGTTTGATGAAAACTTATGTTGTGTAGTACAGTGATCATTTAAAGGATGTTCAAAACAAAAGGAGTAATAAAGATTATCAGAAGCAAAATTAAATGAATACAAAGCATTGGGAGAAAAGAAGGGTCCAGTTCACCCACAAGGACACAGCATGCCAACCAGTTAAGTACACTGCAAAATGCAGCCTCTTACCTCTCCTTGTCAGAATCAGCCACTTCCCCTGACAGTTCTGTTTCATGTTCTGCTAGCTGAAGTTGGAGCTGATGCCGTTCCTAAAGCAAACCGTAAATGATGCTTTCACCAGTGGATCCCAAGTTGCACAGGGAATGCATGTTAAATATCCAGCACTAGTGTGTTCAAATCTACTTACTGCCCCATCCCAGTTTTACACACTTAACCACAGCTGAAAGTTCACCAAAAGTGCCTAATCTGTTGGTGTGTACTAATATAAAATAACATTTTTAAACTACTAGTTTTGCAGGAACTTGTTACAGTAGCAACAGAAAATATATACCTGGCAAGCTGTGCACTTTGTACCCTGTGCTGTATATGTATGCATTTAAAAGTTTACCCTAGAAGCCAACATGGTAGCAGAGTGGATTAAACCACTACTTGCAACACAGACAACCTACATCAAGGGCCAGTTTGAACTCCGATAATCTGATTCAAATCCAGCTTTCTGCTAATGTGCATGGGAAGACAATGAACTGCCATCCATGGGAGTGACCAGGAAGGTTCCTGGCTTTGGCCTGGCCTGGCCCCAGTTGCTGCAATCATGTAGGGAGTGAACTGGTAGATGAAAGATCTTTCTCTCTCTCTCTCTCTTTCTCTCCTTTTCTGTTACTCTTTCCAATAATAAACAAATTTTTTAACTTTTTCCTAATAGAATTTGGACAATTATTTATTTTGAGAAAATGGATGTGATAAAAGCATGGGACCACTGAAACTGCACTGGAAATATGTTGCAGGTGTTAGCATCTTAAAATGAAAGTTAATCAAATCCTGCTTACTAAGTGGGAGAAGATTATTTTACATTAAGTCTTCCTCCAAGTGCTATGGAAACTCACCTTTATTCTCAGAGTCTCCCAACAAAGTCTCAGTTATATAGACACCAAACTTCTGCTCCACCATTTTATTAAAAAGCAGATCTTGAAAAATTCAATTCCTATGACTCCTAAAACTATAAGGATAAAACCAAAGGACAGGCCAAGGATAGAGAGCAGACCACCCTGGACAGGATGAACTTGATGTCACTGGTAACATCAGAACAACAAAAGAAGAGCAACTTTCACTGAAGATGTATTGCTGTTTTTAAATCTCTATAGCAAACCACCTGGCCTAACCAGGATTCTCCCCCTCAACCCTATGTAGTATTCCAATGGCTGGAAGTATACATTAGCTCTTGTATCAGTCAATTGCTCATTACTACCACAAAAAACCTAAGACAAGCTACCAATGAAGAAAACAGTATTTCACTAAAGAGTTCTGAAAATCCCAAATCCAAGCAGCAGAGTGTAGACCTATTTTTGATGAAGAGCCATGGTAAATGGCAAAGAGCACACAGGGCATGGATTACAAAGTGATGCAGGAAGCAGAAAGAGCGCACGGCCCAATCATGGGCTTTCACAGCAACTCTCTAAGATGTCACACCAGAATCCAATAACCTCCCACTAGGCCCTACCTCCTAACTATTTCCTAATAGCTCCAAGATCTCCCAGTAGTAACACCTTGAAGACCAAGCATTTAACACTCTGCCTTGGGGAGACATTAGTTCACAAACCATGGCACCTCTAAAATAAGAGTGGTGAACCTTTCACAAACTAGTATCCTCTTGCCCCCCAAAAGAGGATATTACAAAGTTGGACAAGACTTCTGTTTTGTTAACTGAAGTATAGAAAATATATTTTAAAGATTTTCTTTTACTTTTATTGGTAAGTCAGATATACAAAGAGGAAGAGAGTCAGAGAGGAAGATCTCCTATCCATTGAGTCACTACCCAAGTGGCTGCAACAGCTAGAGCTGTGCCAATGTGAAGCCAGGAATCAGGAGCTTCCTCCGGGTCTCCCACATAGGTGCAGGGTCCCAAAGGCCTTGTGCTGTCATCAACTGCTTTTCCAGGCCACAAACATGGAGCTGGATGGGAAGCAGCACTGCCAGGATACGAACTGGTGCCCATATGGGATCCTCACACATGCAAGGCGAGGACTTAAGCCACTACACCATTGCGCTGGGCCCAGAAAATCTTAGGTGTACATGCAATAATTCCTTCCATTTGTTCACATCAGGGAAACCATCACCTGAGTGAAGTCATAGAACATGCCCATTTCTTTGCAGATATTTATTGATCAGAAAAAGGGATATTTCAAGCAAATGTCCAATATGAAAGCATTAGTATGCCGTAAGGAAGTCATTCAAAAGAGTACAGCTTGTCTTTACACAAAAGCCAAAACTAAATGAGAGCAGGATGTAACCACCACTTCACTTCCTGCCTACAGACAGCCTACTCCACAGCAGTGGCGCGTGGGGTATGACAGAGGTTTGGCCAGATTCCTGCTGCCAGAGATTTATCCCTGCAGGCGGAAAGAGCATAAATTGGTCTATCTAATCTCAGCTACATAAAGGAAGCATTTCTCTAGCCTAATGGAAGGGAAGATTTAGAGAAAGGACAATAAATTCTCAATCACTGAAGGAAAAACCAGTGTGATTTGAGGAAGGTTTTATGTTACCCAACTGCTGCCAAGAGGGCCTGGTCCTCCACCTCCCTAGCTCCCTCATCCTCATGTGCTGCCTGCAGGAACCAGTGGAGAAAAACCAGAAACTGTTGAAAATCTACAGGTATAAAGAAGGTAAACTACAAAATGGCTTCAGCTAAGAAAAGCTGACCAGGAGCAAACCTGCTACAAATACAAACCTGAACCACAAATTATGTGAGCCAGGTACCAGGTTCAGCATCCTCAGACATTGGTTTTTCTCATTGGCTTCAGAATAAGGACAATGACTGTGGGCATTTTACCAAACTACATTTGAAAAGTGGAGTGACTGCCCACACAAAGAGAAGCACCACTCATGCTGTAGGCCTACCTGCCTCTGATCTCTGTGCTCCCAACCACTACTCCATGTGCCTCAAAGATGGCCCCTCTGTCCAAACCACCTCTGCCATGCTGCCAGCTTACCCTGGGTCTTTATTCCTCAGTCAGATGTGTCACCCACAGATTTTGGGTCAGCCAGTATCTTTCTCCATTGCTGGAAGGTCATGTGGGAGGAAGCTCACCCAAGTCTCAGAAGGCACCCTTGCCACCCATCTTCACTGCTACTTCCTCTAATCAGTACTGACATGATCCCCTCAATGTGTCCGTCATCTGCTCCTCAACAAAAGATGGGATTTAGTTTTCCCAGACGGTAATAGTGAGATCACAACTGACCACATAGTTGGCTCAAATTCTTTTCAAATAAAGGTAGTAGCTAAAAGGAGAGTCCCTTTCCCCCAGTTAGCCCTGAAGCCTCATGGTACTGAACTCAATGCAGTTCCCATTCTGGTTGCACCTTGCCTTCCCAGGCTCTGCAGACAACTTTATGCAGCAGAGCTTTTCTCAGAATCATCTGGAAGCCTAGCTAGTGACCTAGAACGTGCTGTTATTTCCCCTGTCTCTATCTCCAGGTTGGGGGCCATCAGGGTTTAGAATAAGTTGACGGGATGTTAGGCATGTCACAATAGATCACTCACTGCTGTCTGCAGGCTCACAGAGAGCCAGAGAACTCTTTCCTAAGCACCAGCCACAGCCTCGGCCCAGGACCTCCCCCAGAAGCCAGCCATCACCTGCTGAAGGTCATCCACCCTTTGTCTTCCCTCTTGCCTCCCTTTTCTCCACTTCCTGCCTGATTTCCTGTCTCTTCCTTTTCTCTAAATTGCCTTCATTGTCTCAGTTTAGCTCTTCCCTACTCATTAGCCCCTTGCCAAACACACAGAGAAATGTGGCCTCCCCAAATCTCTGGCTCCTAAAACAACTAGAGTATTGACAGGACATCTAAATAGGGCTTGATGATCCAGAAGGTAAGCCAAGTTCAGGCAAAGCAGTCTGGCTAAACACTGATTTTCATAAAAAATTTCATATGTAATATTTTCAGAAAGCATCCAAGTAGTTACCATGGGGAAAAATGAAAAATTTGTTGGACTTCCTTAGACATGATTATATAGACCTCTTTTTTTTCATGGCAAACTAGGGGGATTAGGGAGATGTTAAGGGCTTCTTCTATCTCAGACAGGCTCACAAGGGAACTCAGAGCAGTTTGGGCAAGTACGCAACAGGCCCAAGGCTGTATCCTTACCTTTTCCATCCGCTCAATCAGCCGGTCAAGCTCTCCAATCCTCTGGTCTTTCTCTTCTAGGCTGATTTCTGCTGCCTGCATCTTTTTATTGGCTTCTTCAATTGCCTTCAGGAAACTATTGGTTTCTTCCTACAAAAGAAACATCTTCCTCTCACAACAGGCATGGAGTACCTAGATCCTTCCTTCACCAGGCTCCAAGCAATGAAACTTCCTCAGTCACAATTTCCCTTTAAAAGCACAGCCTTGCAACCTAAGAGGGTCTCGCGAACCATAAATTCAAGACATGTAATTCTGATTCTCATCTACGAGTACAGACTCATTCATTGTGTGGCTTTTTAATGCATCTGACTGAATTTTTTCCTTTTTTGTTTTGTCCCCAGAGTCTTTAGGTCTAAAAGTTGTCCCCCAAGAGTTTGTGAAGGTTTAAATAATATTGAATAGATAGACTGAGCATCACTATATCCATCCACAAGGCAAAGGGGATTAGGGCCAGATCTAGCATTGAATGTATGATTCCCAGGTCTTTCTCCCTGATAGCATGCACCAACTCACTCCAAGGGAGAAAACCCACTCATGTGGCACATCCAGAAAGCCAAAAGACAGATGCAACTTCAAGGAATGTATGTTCTTATAGGGGAGTGAAGATGTAAACAATACAGGATATCTCTTCTCCTGACAGGTGAAACAGAATCCCATGGGCAAGGGCAAAGAGACACAGTGAGCTTCACAATGACAGAGTTGCTTCCAGGTGTATAAAGGGGAGAGATTTCATTCATGGAGAGGAGAGCATTCTCAAGGAAAGAGAAATGAGGTGATTTCAGGTAGAGAGGAGCAAATGGATAAGGGAGGACACAGCTGCAGGCAAGCACAGATGCTAACGAACAACCAGATTAGCTGGAGGAAGGTGTGTATTTAGAGCAGGGAGGCTGATAATCAAAGGCAGAAAGAAAAGTTGGGGAGCAAATAAGCAAATAAATCTTTTTGGCTCCATCACCCGTCTGAGCCCACACAGTCACTGCCATGAGGAAACCCTACTGCTTCAGCCTTGACACCCACCAGAAGGGCCTCCTTTTCGGCACTGTGCTTCTGCTGCTCCGCCTGCAGCTTCTCCTCATACTGGCTGTACAGCTTCCTAGTCATCTCTCGCAGCACCTCCGCATTGGCTTCTTGGGATGCTTCCACCTACAACGACATACATTTCAGCACTGCAGTTTTTGCAATCAGCAACTTCACCACTGCCTAGGGTTCTGTCATAGAAGCAGCAGGAAAGAGTGGGACAAGGAGACGGGGAAGAAGGAAGAAGAGTGAGTGGAGGCACAGAAATGAAGCACAGCGTTCTCCGCTGATATAGCTGGCACTGGACAGTGGTACTTCCATCGGTCACTTTTTCAGCAGGATGATGCTCACTTTTCTAAATAATCCCGTAAGTTGTTTTGGCCAAGTCAGACCCTAGGATAAGATGTCAGCTAGGCTCAAATACACAATCTGGACTCATCAACTCAACACTGTTGTACTTTCCAAAAATGTTATGTCTGCAAACAGTCTGACCCAGTGAGGGGAATACGAAGCAGGTGCCTCCAGCGGCCTGATCAGGTCCAGCTTCAGCTTGAGAAGGAGAACAAGGCAGCAGAACTGTGGGTGAGCAGGACTGAATGGCGGTAACGGCCAAGGCCTCAGTGTGCTCTTCCTGCCACTGATCGTATCCTGCTGAAGGTTTTTCTTGGTCCTTCTTCCCATGTTGCTGCTTATTCCACAGAGCTGGGGCTGTTGGATGCATCACCACTGGGAAAGAAGGCAATCAACCTCTACAGGTGATATGATACTTATAACAAAAATGTGCTAGGTTTCTCTCGATGCCCTTTACTACCACCCCTCCTCTCATTGCTGGGGAAGTATTGGCATCAAGAAGTGACAAAAGGAAAAATCTGAAGCAGTGGTTATCATAAACTGAGAAAAGACAGGAGTACCATACACCTCACTTGTACTGTACACAAAAACTGTGAGATGGGCCTCTCTCCCTGGAGGCCTGCACACCCTGTATCCAGGTCATTTGAAATATCCTGAGTCACCATAACTGGGGAAGCAGGGAGTGATAAAGTAAGAGGAACAGTAGGGAAAAATTTTAACTCTACTGGTCAGATTGAAAACAAGCATCAGTCCCTATAAGCAGTAACTACAGGCTGGACAGAGCCTGGACTAAGGGAAGCAGCCAGGCTGCCTAATAATGTCCCACACCCCGATAATGACCACCCTTGGCTCACTAGCAATGTCCAGGACAGACACCAGTAGCAGATTCTCAATAAGTACTTGTGGAATAAGTAATTGGATAAATTACTGAGGAAGACTTAAATCAGCATTCTTTGACTTTAGCTATAAACCTTTGTTTCATAAATTTAAAAAATCTTTCTAATTGTATTTACTTGAGAAACAGACACATAGGGAATGAACTCCTATCTGCTGGTCTATTCCCCCAAATGCCTACATTAGCCAGGGCTGGACCAAGGTCAAAGACACGACCACAATCTGGGTCTCTCCTATGGACAGTAGGTACCCAACTACTTCAATCATCACTGTTGCCTCCTAGAGTCAGCATTAAGAGGAAGCTGGAACTGGGAGCCACCGCTAAGGCTCAAACCCAAGCATGCCAATGTGAGATGTGGACCTCCGAAAAACTTGGCTAAATGTCCACTCCTTCTCCAGCAATTCTTATTCTGAAAGGCAACAGATAAAATAGGAAAGAGAGGCACTGTTTTAACTCAAAGTCAAGAAAAGTTCACCTATCCTATGGGCTCCCTGTTCCCTTTCCCATGCCCAGGGTGGCTGTGGGAGGACAAGCAGGCTGTGATGGCAGAACCCTGTGGGGGTGGCAACACAGAGGGTATGCAGCATGCCAACCCTTCTTCGTCTAGATTGCTCCTGAGGAGACCTGCAGGAAGAAGGACCAGTTTGTTTTCCGAAATTACTAAAACCATCACCTTCCACTCCCTCTAATATTCTGACTTAGGTAAAAAATTGTTATGCAGATATACTACCCATAAGACAGCATAAGCCTATATTGAACACAATTTTACAACTATATATACAGATTTTTTTTTAAAATCACTTAGGAAATAATTTCTTGAAAGTTTTCCATGAGCCATTCACAGGTCTTCTTGTCACTGGGTAAGAAATCTGTCCATGTTTCAAATATGGGGAGAGCAGTGACACCTCCCAGACATAAACAGCCCAGCACAGGAATACAGATAGCCTAGGGACCAAGAGAAACATTTCCCAGGGTCCTCAGATGGCTGAGGCGGGAAGCGGGCAGAGCTCAAGGACCACTGAACTACGTGTCCTTAGCTTGTTTTTGTTAAGTTATACAGAAAGGCCTGCAGAGCTCAGAGAAAATCTGAACAGCACAGGGATACAGGCCCAGAACATCTGAGTCCCGGACCCGTGGGCATCCCAATTGCCTAAGCCACCTTCAAGGCAACCAGGAGCCAAGGAAGAAGTACCCAATGGGAGTGTGCACGGGACACCTGCAACCTGGACTGACAGCTATAAACACAGAACTTCCTCACTCACCTTCATTTTGAGGCCAGCCTTATGGAGCCGATCACAGAGGATGCGAAAATCAAATGGAAAATAGAGAAAAGGACATGGAAGAAAGAGACAAAAGGAAGAAAAGAAAAGTCAGTAGGAAATCTAGACGTGTCTTTACCTTCATTTTCAGCAGCTGGTTTTCAACTTGTGCCACATCTAACTGCCTCTGTTTCTCCTGTAGCTTCTCCATGGATGCTTCATATGTCTTCTGCAAATTTCTAATCTGATCCTTAATGTTGCTATTTTCCAAAGTAACATCCACAAGGGTTTTCTGTTTGGAAATAAAAACAAAACTGGAATTAGTAGTGTAAAGAAAACATGGCCGGGGTCATGCACTGGGACATCTTTGCCTCCTCCCTCTGAGGCAGACGTCAGGCCACGGAGGATGCTGCCCTGGGTCCTGGTCTGGACTGAGGTCTGCCATCCCATACTGTGATGGGCTAGGGAGACTCCCATTCATATCCCACAGATGCTGCCAATACCGCTTGGGGTGGATGGAAATGGAGGAAAATGCAGTTTTTCCAAGGAAAATTGTTCTCAATATATTATTTCTCATGGGAAAAAAATACTAAGCACAATTCAATCCCATTTTAAACAATAAACATATGAACTGGTTCAAATAGGTATTTATGCATACACAGAAGAAAGATAGGAAAAATGTAAATAATAGCTCTTACTATGGGACAAGAACACAGATATTTATTTTCTTCGTTGTTTTCTGTGTTTTTTTTTTCATATTCCCACATGAAATGTGACTGTTGTAGAATGGAGATATATTGTCCTTGTTTATTAAAAAAATCTGTCACTTCTCTATTCCCAGACTGTCTGCCAGAATAGTGGCAAGGCTGAGGTTATGCCACTGCTGGCAAATGCCTCAGCTTCTTCCACTGGGCAAAGGAAAGTACCCAAAAAAGAACTGAGTCTGACAAAAGCCTAGCATCTATCAAAAGCATTGTGACTACTGCTCCAGGCCACCCACTGAAGCAGGAATATTTAACTAATACTTTAGCTATCTAGCTGGCTAATTTTGCTCAAAGAGAAATGGTCTCCATAAATGCCAGAATTTTGACATCAGAAATTGAGTCATGGTACCTTCCACACTTCCCCAAGTTAATCAACAATCTGAAATCCGAAGACTTGGGAACCAGTGGTGGAAAGGATTTCTTATTTCTTAACACCTTTTTTTTTTAAAGATTTATTTTTTATTATTTTTTTATTGGAAAGTCAGATATACAGAGAGGAGAGACAGAGAGGAAGATCTTCCGTCCGATGATTCACTCCCCAAGTGAGCGCAACGGCCAATGCTATGCCAGTCCGAAGCCAGGAGCCTCTTCCGGGTCTCCCACGTGGGTGCAGGGTCCCAAAGCTTTGGGCCGTCCTCAACTGCTTTCCTGGGCCACAGGCAGGGAGCTGGAAGGGAAGCGGGGCTGCCAGGATAGAACCAGCGCCCATATGGGATCCCGGGTGTGCAAGGCGAGGACCTTAACCATTGCGCCACCACGCCGGGCCCGGTTTCTTAACACCTTTGTCATATCCATGGGATGATCCGTTTCTGAAGCTTCCCCAACTCTTCAGCCTTCATACTGGACAAGATCTAACCTCTGACTCCTGAATCTGCTTGAATCAGGAAAGAGAATTTCTAGTGGCAGTTATCAGGAAGGGGTTAAAGGAAAATTTGAAGTCATCTGGAAACATGAAATCACAGAACAGTTGAGCTTTGACAAACTTTGGATCCACTGACCCGAGTACTCAGTCCTCTGAGCACCCCTCTTGAGACTAACTCCTCCATCTACACAAACACCTATGATCCATACCAACAGGCCAGACTCTGATCCTGGCCCTTCCACTAGTTCAACACCGTGCACATGCCATTTTTCTGTGCTAAACTCAATTTGTCCATAAAACAAAGGAATTAGAGCTCATCACAACAGGTTTGGCTCTGATGTTCTATGAAATCAAATCAAGACTCTGGAGTCACTGTCAATAATAACGAAAGCGGGAAGAACAAGCAACAGGAAGAAACTGGGACCATGCACAGATAAGAAGCCAACAACCAGGCCTGGGGCGGTAGCCTAGTGGCTAAAGTCAATGTCTTGCATGCACCAGGATCCTACATAAGCACCAGTTCTAATCCTGGCAGTCCCACTTCCCATCCAGCTTCCTGCCTGTGACCTAGGAAAGCAGTGAAGGACAGTCCAAAGCCTTGGGACCCTGCACCTATGTGGGAGACCTGGAGGAGGCTCTGGGCTCCTGACTTCAGTTTGGTACAGCTCTGTCTGGTCGTAATGGCCACTCGAGGAGTGAATCAACGGACGGAAGATCTTCCTCTTTGTCTCTCCTCCTCTCTGTATATACACCTTTCCAATAAAAATAAAATAAATCATAAAAAAAGAAAGTCAACAACCACTGCCTTAAGACTCAGCTGTGTTTCCTAACTGCTATAACACAGGAAACTCTCTCTCTTACCACCCCCCCTCTCTCTTTTCTTTTTCTAACAACAGTTTAATATTTTGGTTGTGTAAGGTATCAGAACTAATATTCTGAACAGTAACTAGAAATTAGTCAAGGTTCCTGTGTTAGGGCTGACCTTACTCTAGAACAGATTTCTGAAATAAGTGTCCATCAGATGGCAAAGCAGAATTTACTAGAAAATACCTGCAAGGCTTTGTTGTTGTTCTGGAAAGAAACATCAGGAACACAGTACATATCTCAACCAAGTCCCAGATGGAATACAGTCCTGGGTTGGCTGGGAGCTCTAGCAAGTCCCCTGGATGGCAAGAGGAAGGGCAAACAAAAGCTACTGAATGTGCCAGCCCCATAGTGGGGCTTGGCCTGAGGCCAGGGGAAATTTGGCATACACAAAAGACAGCCAGGAAATGGGTGGGACTCAGAGGTCCCCTGAGAAATAGGCACCCCAGACGAACCCAGACATGAGGCCCACCCAAGGCCACTGCTGGACAGCAGCCAAGCTTTGTTGTTGCTACCCATGCCATATCGACTGTTGTCAAAGAACACAAGCATCTAGGGATTGTGGAGATTCCCCAACATGAAAATGTGTTTGTTTAGCTCATAAATTATTTATACAGAAAGAGTTAGAAATAGTTCATGGAACTTTTAAGAGAAGAATTAAAAGATAATAGCAAATGAAGCCGGAGGAGAGGCAGGCGCTATTGTTTCTATACTTGGACACAAAAGCCAAGGCAAAACATTTCCAGCAAAGATAACATTTTGTGTTGAACGTTTTTCAAGTTCATTTGCAAGTGTTGTAGTGAACTCAGAATGGTAATAATGGAAAGCAATTGGATAGTTAGCTCCTAGGACATCAAGCGCATCAAGAGAACAATCTCCTGTACTGGGCTGACAACACACATTTCTACAAGAGGAGGAACCTGGGTCTCTCTGTTTCCATCTGACACTACCTGACATTCTTTGGAACATTCTTTCTCATGCAAACTAATTTCCACCTTAAGAAAACAGGTTTGCAAAACTGGTATACACAAACTGTAAGAATAGACCGCTTTGGGTTAAGTCTATCTTTTGCATTTTGGGACTTGAGGGAAGGGCTCTCCTACAACACAGTGGCTATAGGGCTATAGGGAAAGGGGGCTGGTGTGTCATCCTAGGCTTGGCACCAAGCACTATTCTCACATCTGGTGGAGCAAGTGATGTCTCCATCACTGAACTCACTAAGTCCGAACCCCGCTCTGTAAACATAAACAAAGGTGTACAGCCTCGGCTTGGATATACTTCCTTCAACTTCACAATCCTTACTGTGGCTATGCTTAAGGGAGTCCTAATAATGAGCTGCGGCGATTCTGTGACTTACCTTACTCTAGAGGAACAGCACCCACTCTTGATTAAGCTTAAGTGATCTCTAACAGAAGGGGCCCCACCTAACCATGAGCAGATAAATACCTGCAGACCAATGGAGTCCGACGCCAAAGCTGAGTTCATGGCATTAAAGCTATCCAGGGCTGATGACTGGGCTTCGATGTGATTCTCCAGATAGTCCTGCTGAGCTCGGGTAACCTGGACAGAGGAAGGAGGGGAAAGTCACGCCAATCTCAATCTCCACACACTCACCACAAGCTTCACTTACCCGAAACTTTCTTCTGATACAGCCAAATACACTTAATACCAAACTTTGAAGAAGTCAACATGCGCTTGACAGAGTAGGCAGGGACAAATCATTTTCTTTTAAATGGTATAAAGGTACTTCAGAATGATCATGGAAAATGGGATTAAAAGATGGTTCCTTTGGGGCAGAAGTTTTTGAAATTGGTGCATATGAGGCACGTTCCAAAAGCTCAAGAAGAGGCAAGCTCTGTTGTGCATTCAGTCTTAATTTAGGTGTGCACATCCTATATCCAAATACTAGTTCAAATCCTGACCACTCCACTTTCAATACAGCTTCCTAAAATGAACACGCTGTGAGGCAGCAGGCATTGGCTCAAACGCTTGGGCCCCTACCACCCACATGGGAGACCCCAGAGGAGTTTCAAGCTCCTGGCTTCAGCCTAGTTCAGCCCTGGCTGTTGGGAATATTTGAGGAGTGAACCAGTGGATAAGTGATATCTTTTTGTGTCTCTATTTCTGTTTATGTGTCACTTTGTTGTTAGGTAGATGAAAATAAACATTTTTTAAAGTTTATGAAAAATGCATTTTCTAAAAAGTATGTATGGCTTTTTGGCACTGCAATAAACATTGCTTATAATGCCACTTTTCTAGATGCTTTCTGAAGTACCCTCACGGTGACACATTCAACCCAAAGCCTTACTTATTCTTTGGTTCTGCAGTGCAGAGTCCTCAACAACACTGTATCAGACTCAGAATATTGTACTTTTCAGGAAAGACAGGGAGTCAGAGAGGTAATGTGACTGGCACCCAAACAGCTCAGAAAGAGCAAAACAGAACTTAAAAATGTCTTTGGTCATCTTGCTTTGAAGTTACTCAACTCTCAAGAGTTGTTTTGTAGCTGTCTTTATTGGGTGTGTGTGCTTAATGTGCAGCTCATCAGAGTCGCACTCAAGCTAGACCTAAACGAGGACTGAAAACAGACAGGCAGGGGTCAGGAGAACTTGGGGCAGGGGTTCCCAGGAAGACTCATAGGTAGGCCTTTGGTGCCTGTGGGAACCACAGAAAACAGCACAACAGAGCAGAAGTGTCCCATGGGGAGTGAGAGAAAAGAAGCAGGGGCCTGGGGCAAACACCTGTGGACAGGCACATGCATGTCCACAGAGCAGTACAGCAGCAAGTTTAATTTGCCTGCAGGGTGTGGGAAGGTCTGGAGAAAGAAGAGACTGGGGGTATAGAGATGGGATCCCTGGGTGGGTTCTGGTGTGAGAAAATGAGGATGCAAAAGAGATGGGCATGGAAAGCAAAGGGTAAAATCTTATTTATGCACCGAATAAAAACCCAACCCCTTGGCTTTGAGGACAGTCATTCATGTCTGTCAGTGAATATCACAGTGAATTTCCATGAATAGGAGAGAATGCCACAAAGCTCCCACCTGACAGTGAGAATGGGCTAGGTGGATATGTTTATACCTTCATACTGCTATAATCAAGGTAGTAGGTGTTATCACAGCAGATAGTCTCACCACACAATCATCAATTAAGCTCTACAACAGGGCTGTTGTAACTGCTCTTCTTGCCTGCTTATTTTGATGGTCACTGGAAAGTATGTGATACAATGTGTTGCACATACGGGTTTTTATCTTTGAGAATAGCAACAGTTTTTTCATCCCACAAGCATTCTCCTAATTACACTAGAGGAAGGATATTTTTCTTACATTTTTGTATAGGTAATATACTCACATTGTACAAGAACTTAGAAAATGCAAAAGTAATTATGTGTAATTAAATCTATTTTAATGCCAAAAAGTTTTGGAATCCACATATAGATTTATCATAATATACATTTTTCATGATCTTTTTCAAGACCCTTTTGTATGCATGGGTTTCAAAAGTTCTGTTATCAAAATAAACTTATCCTTTAATTCCATTTTCACAAACTTCTTGAAGTTCCCTCATATGTTTTATTTTATGTCCCCCTTTCAGTGAACAGAGTTGTAATACTTTTACTGTTATAAACAACACTACGATAAACATGCTCATCCATCAGACATCTGACACATGCTAGAAATAGACTTCAGGGGAAATGTACTGAGCATAAATAAGAAGATTACTCTCATCACAAAAATTTTAGAGTTTAAGTAATAAACTTTATCCTGCAATTTGGTGCCTTCAGTTCATTGAAACATGAAAGAAAGTTCCAGTAGCAGGTGCTAGCAGCGAGCTCAGAGCTCGACCATCCCCCCACAGTGCCCCATCACTGTGAGGCTGACTTACTGACAGATCCTGAGTGAGCTGCCGAATCTTATGCCGCATTTCATCGTAGTCTCCAAACATTCGCTTCCTTACTTTCTCCAAAGTGGCTCGTACCTGCAGCCCATAACGATGCTAAGTTAGAGATTCAGCTAATTCACTTTCTGGAGTTCCAAAACATTTATAAAACTTTAATGAGAGAAGGGCCATACAAGAAATAATCTTATGGACAAGGGATTTAGAAAATTGAGCAAAAATATCATCCAATTCTAAATCAAGGAAATAATTAAAATAATAATTATATTTAACTACAATTATTAATAAACACCTCTTATCACGTAATAAACTGAAGAAAAAATGGTTTGTTCAGATACACCTATCACCCTCAAACCACCTATCACTCCTCTCTTCTCATCAAATATTTTTACAAGTGGAAAGTTTGTAATAAATAGACTCTATAACACATGGCTATGAGTACCAAAAAAAAAAAAAAACCAAACAAACAACAACAACAATAAAACGTAAAGCAAAAGACAACTTCTGAGGTTCGCTATCTCTGCTCTAACTACCAAAGAGCAACTATATGTCTGGAATGTGAGGCAGGAAATTTAAGCACCAGAGAACCTGTGCATGTGATGGGGGCTCCTCATACACACCTACAGGAGACACCATAACAAAAAGAACTGTGATCCCCAAACACTGTTCAAGCGTCTCTAATGGTACCACTCTGAAGAGCAACAGGACCTTCATTTTTTTTTTTCAACAAAAACAAAAAAGTTTTTAAAATAGTCCCCCTTCTGGTACCCCTAGGATAGATAAAGGGATTCTTAAAGAGGATGGGAAGTCTGAGAGAGTTTTCTCCAGATGTATTCAGGAGCTGCTATTTTAGGGAAGAGCTGAATGGAATCTATTTCATTAGCCTGTGATTTTTTTAAAAAGATTTATTTATTTTAATTGAAAAGGCAGATATACAGAGAGGAAAGAGAGAGGAAGATCTTCCGTCTGATGGTTCACTCCCCAAGTGACCACAACGGCTGGAGCTAAGCCAATCCGAAGTCAGGAGCCAGGAACTTCCTCCAGGTCTCCCTTGCTGGTGCAGGGTCCCAAGGTTTTGGGCCATCCTCGACTAATTTCCAAGGCCACTAGCAGGGAGCTGGATGAGAAACAGGGCTGCCGGGATTAGAACCGATGCCTATATGGAGTCCCAGAGTGCAAGGTGAGGACTTTAGCCACTAAGCCATCGCCCCGGGCCCAGCCTGTGACTGTTTAGGAAAGAATTTGGGGGAGATGCCAAGATGGTGGCAATTTTACACAGCTACACACTGCTTTAAACTAGACTCTATGTTCATCTGGGTAACAGGATTATGGGTAGAAATGATGGACACTGGTGGTCGAGACCCCTAGCCTTGCCCAGATGAATTCTAATGATACGATTTACTCTCCTGCCAATAATTACAATTATTGATTTTCCCTCTAGGCAGGCCGAAGGGTCTCATTTCTGCCCTGAGCCTATCCCTGCACTGTTCCTTCAGTGGGAGTGGTACAATCTGGAACTGGGTGTTGATTCCACTGGCAAACGCTGCAGGAAGTCAACAAGCCCAGAGTGTCTTTCACCAGGGACAGAGAGTAAACAGACTCATAAACACACTCAGGAATGACCATGCAAGGCAGCTTTAGAAGGAAGAACGTGGCAATTAATTTCAACTTGCACATCAGTAATTCCAGGTCAAACCCAGCCCTACAACTTTGGCACATGTCATCTATGGCTCAAGATCCACCTAAACCTGGTATCTTCCTCTTGTGCAACTGGCAGCTCTGGACTCTTGCTTGGAAGATTCACCTCTGAAACAATGCCATGCTATTAGGAGTATTTAAATTAGAAAGGTCTGGGAAAGGTTCAGTGGTGCAGTGGGTTAAGCCTGTGCTTGTGACTCCTGCATCCCATCTTGGAGTAGTGTTTCGAATCCTAGCTAGCTCCCTACTAATACATCTGTTAAGCATCAAACGTGGCTTGATTACTTGAGCTCTTGCAACTCATAGGAGGTACCCAGATGGAGATTCTGGCCCCTGGCTTTGGCTTGGCCCACACCTGAATGTTGCAGACATTTGAAAAGTGAACCGTCAGATGGAAGATTTTGATACCCGCCTTCTCTCCCTCTCTCTGTCCCCTCCACCCCAATCACTCTGTCTTTCAAATAAATAAATCTCTTAAAAACGTGCAGGAGCCCTGGAGAGGCTGAGTTTTTCTTAAAAGGAAAACTAAGAGCACAACAGTCTGGATATCTGGAAATGATCTTCAGGAGGTAGAATATCGTTAAAGCTGGTGGTTATCACATCTATTCTCTGCACAGGCATGTGTGTGAAGTTTTTCTGGCTTCTCCTCCAATTATTTTGGCAAGCGTTTATTATTATTATTATCATTATCATTATTATTATTATTAATTACTATTAAGGAAAAGGATTCTTCCAACTCATACAATAGCCAAGACCACATAGCTTTGTATCTTGCACTCCAATGAAACAGGGCTAACAGAGCTGGGAGTGATCTGAGGGTCATTCCCCTGCCCGATCCACCTATGAGGAAATGGAAGCCTGCACAGCACCAAAGAGAGTACTAGGGCAAACTGGCCAGTGCTGGCCTGGAGGCAAAGCCGTCTCCTTCCCCACATATGGTCAGTGTCTGGGGCCCATCATGTCATTGCTGTTCATTTCTACTTTGGGCAATAGTGGCATCGGTCAATGTAGAGGACAATGGCAGAACAAAGAGTTAAAAATAGGTAGGTTGGGCCCAGTGTGATGGCCTAGCAGTTAAAGTCCTTGCCTTGAATGTGCCAGGATCCCATATGGGTGCCAGTTCTAATGCCAGCAGCCCCGCTTCCCATCCAGCTCCATGTTTGTGGCCTGAGAAAGCAGTCGAGGATGGGACTCTGCAAGTGCATGGGAGACCCAGAAGAGCTCCTGGCTCCTGACTTTGGATCGGTTCAGCTCCAGCCATGGCGGTCACTTGGGGAGTGAATCAACAGATGAAGATCTTCCTCTCTGTCTCTCCTCCTCTCTGTATATCTGACTTTGCAATAAAAATAAAACAAAACTTTTTTAAAAAATAGGCAGGTGGACAAGCAGGCAAGCATATAAAGGATTATGAGGTGAGCATGTGGCATAGCTGTTATGGGATGCTTACAGCCCTTACTAGAGTGTCAGTCCACGCTTAACTCAACCCAGCCCTAGCTGTTGCAGGAATTTGGGGCAGTGAGCCAGTGAATGGAAGATCTCTTCTCATCAGTCTGTCTTCCAAACAAAATAAAAAAATACACTTAATATTTGAAGAAAATGCTTTTCTGATTAAAGAATAAAATTGCCGTTAATGCTGTCTTTTTATACATTTTTGTGTTTTCTAAATTTTCTAAAAAGAACATAGAATTTAAAAGATCAGAAACACAACATTGCAAAGAAATGGCAGTGAGGGACTTAGAATGGATGTCTCTTACGGTTGACTTCCCAGCATTCATTTTAATCCAACTGATTGGGCTGAACCAGCCACAGCCTTCCTAATCCTCTTGTCAGTGGTAAATTCGGGACTGGGCCTGTGACCCAGCTCTGGCCAATATGACACAAGAGGAGCTCTAATGTGTGGAATCAAGAAGGTTCCAAAACGTAAGCAGAGCTGTAGCCAATCTCTTCCTCCAGATGATGCCACCAGCCTGAGACTGAAAAGACAGCAAGCCAATAGAAATACAGAGAACTAATACTGGAGTGAGATGTGCCTGCCAGGGACCTGGTCTGCCTCCAGACTCTTTGCCCATGATATAAATTTCTTTCTTTGAATTGCCTTTTGTGTTACTTGCAATTAAAAGCACCCAAGTGTAGACAGATGTGTAAATGCATTTAGTTAGTATGTCCAGTGTAATAAGCAAAACCACTTAAAAAAAAAAACTCCATAGCACACATGAGAAAAATAAAGTCCCTGGTCTCCTGGAAACCCCAGGGAGTAATCTCTACCAACCAATGTTCATCCCGTATTCCAGAATTACACCTGGACATTTAAACTACCACAAAGATACACACACACACAAAAATTTCCATCCAAAATGATAATCCTAAGAATTCTTTAAGAATACCTTACCACATTCACACCAACGCTTCCAACTCTACCTTCTTATATATTGCCAAAGGAATATAAGCCAGCAAAACTAGTCTTGAAATCACTCACATCCTTGATGTAGTTCATCTCTTCTTTCAGTTGACTGGTTGACCACCCGTACACCACCATTTCTTTCTGCTGGTTTTGATCGGATCTTCGCACCACACCATAAACAACCCCTTGAGGAAGTTTCCTGGGAGGCTCTGCATTGCTTATGTCAGGAGGCTAAAAGCAAACACAACAAAGAAAAAGAATAATGACTCTTGACCTCTCATGCAAACCGTCTAATGATGGGCCCGAGTTGGACTGTGGAGGCTGTACTTTGCACCGAGGGAAGGTGGGGCAGTGCTGCTGACCAGGTGTGTAAGTCTTCTTATTTCTAATGCATGTCCAGACATCTGTTACTGCGTCTGTGACTCCATCTTCCCTCATGGAAGACACGTCATGGGGCATCCTTTCCCAGTTCTCACAAAGGTGCCGGAGGTAATTGCATTCTCAATTGGACTTTCTCTCAGTAATGTTTTTCCTCTTACACCAGTCTCAGTGTGTGGCTTCAATCTCATCATCAAACATGTGGCCTGAATTTCATGAGGCTGAAGTTGACCATGATCTGGCCAGACAACTGTCCTCAGAGGGTGGAACTGACCCCAAGCGACCATCAAGGGGAATCGGTACATAGCATGCTGGGATGATTCATGAAATCATTTTATATTTTTTTAAGATCTTTTTTTTATTGGAAAGTCAGATATACATAGAGGAGGAGAGATAAAGATATCCCACCCATTGATTCACTCCCCAAGCGGTCACAACAGCTGGAGCTGAGCCAATTTGAAGCCGAGAGCCTGGAGCCTCCTCCAGGTCTCCCACATGGGTGCAGAGTTCCAAGGCTTCAGGCCATCTTCGACTGCTTTCCCAGGCCACAAGCAGGGAGCTGGATGGGAAGCAGTGCCACCGAGACATGAACTGACGCCCATATGGGATCCCAGTGCATAAAAGGCAAGGACTTTAGCCACTAGGCTACTGTGCTGAACCCCAAAATAAATAAATTTAAAAAGAAATAATAATAAAGCAAAAACAAAGTACATAGAAGGAAACAGTCTTTAAAGGTCTGGATTCCACCTTTCTAGCTGCTTTACAAACACATATTTTTCCCTTTTCTGGCTTCCTGGGCTTTTATTCTACATAGCAACTTTATTCTTAAAACAACAAAAATCAGAAAATACAAAGTATGCTATCTATCACTTAGTGTTTCTAAGCCATCTTCTCATGGATATGAGTGAGATCCAAGCCCTCCTGGGCAGTCTGCGGGCCACACAATCTGTAGTCCTTGGCCTTGTGGGTGTCTTCCTCCTCCATCCCCCGCCTGGCCTGGGAAGAGGAATGTCTGCCTTCAGACCTCGCCTTTTTTCCTGCAGACTAGTCCATCTCAGAGAGCTCTGCTTTACAGAAAAGCGTTTCACCGAAGCCTGCTGTCATCAGCTTGTTTTTCAGGAACAGGGTGGAGTCCAGGACTGAGAGCCCTGCTCTGGTTTCCTGGTGTGTGAAGAGTTTCACAGGAGCTTTTCCTCTTCCTACTTGTATGACTAGCAAAATAACGCACACGTGTCACCTCACCAAGGACCATTTCACAGCCCAGCCACTTAAACTCGGGACACATTTCAGGGGTGGGATCTGGGTGTGAGTGACACAGAGAAAGGTTTTATTGCCAATAACACCGTGTCCCATGTGCAGAAGGTGGGAGGTAGTGGATGCCTTTTCTTTCTTTTTTGAAAACTTCGATCATCAAAAGCCAAAATACAGAAGAGGATGAAGAAAAAAACAGTGAAGGTCATCAGATCACCAGCCCACCTGTTACCTTCTCCTTGGAGGGTCCTATTATTAGTCGTTTGTCTTGGATCTTTCTAGAATTTTATTTTACCTACTTTGAGTGATTGACCTGAATCATAAAAATACTTATTGTTCTTCCCCATGTGGTGATTTTCAAAATTCAAATGATTTTTATGTCAAAACTTTTGAGTGAACATATTGGACAAATCCAAAGGCGTCTGAAAAAGTAGTGTGGGGACAGAGTTTCTGGTCTGGAACCAGGAAAATGAGAGCGGGCAGATTTATCTATGAGGTCTCAATCTTTGGTCTTGGTTTTTTCCTTGCCTCTGTCCCATCTATGCCATGGAGGCCTTTATGCTGTCCCCTACATCTAACAAAGGCTGAGATATGGAAGGTGTACTTCATATCAGACAGAACTGGTCTGGAGCCCAAATATGTGGCCATGAACAAGCTACTTAGCCTCTCAGGACTTCAGTTTTATTGGGTGTGAAGTGAAAAAGGCAGCTGCTGGACCCTGGACTGGTTGTGAATGTTAAAAGTGCTAAGGAACATTTCTAGCTTATAGTAGGTGCCCAACAAATCTTAATTTTCCTTTTTCTGGTTTCCTGGGCTTTTATTCTATTCAGCAACTTTATAATTTAGACATGCTACTTTTTTTCGAAGAGATTTTTATTTCAAAAACCATCAAGGCTGGGCCTGGCGTGATAGCCTAATGGCTAAATCCTCGCCTTTATTAGAATCTCATGATAGAAATAAAAGACCTCCAGGGAAGGACTCACGAGGAGCCACTCTGTAAGGACATGATCACCAAGCAGCTAGGGGAGTTGCTGGGCTCTGACATAGCCAGGTAAGGAATGGCTAACAGAAGACGGAGAAATATTTGTTGTCAAGTGATCTCATGATAAAGTATTTTATTAATTAACACAATAATCCCACAGGGGCTCTGCATCAGAGCAGCACACCCTCAGCTGGCAACAGCGTGCCGTGGTGCACAAACAGCCACACCAAGGATGAGACCAGAATTGGCATATTCACCCAGGGTTGCTCAAGCAAATGGGACTGTAAGACACCCATTGGCAAGGAATTCCTCCTTTCCAGTGTTTTACTGGGCTCTCAAAGTTCCCAACTCAACATCCAAGCCCATAAGAGAACATCCTGTGTCTGCCAAGGGTTGCTGAGATCTAAAGAAACTGTCTAAAAGGTTCAGGTCACTGAAGGATGGCTGCAACACTGACATGTGAATAACCACTTAATCATCTGCTTCAAGTCCATTTCCAAAGGACTTCACCATCACAAAGCCTCAAAATCTACTCAGATCAGAGTCCCCGAAATTCCACTCTGCACTGAAGCCCTGATTTACCCAGATAAATCTAGAATGGCTGGTGTTGGTTGTGTCTCTTATTTCCATCTGCATGTGTATGTGTGTGCCTAGAAACGCTGCATACAGATTTGAACAGGAACATAGATGCATGCATTCACAACGTTCTTAAGTCCCTAATTTCAGAATCAAATCATCTACCACTGATTTAAATTCTAATGTCCAACACTTGGATACACATGGTCCACACTCACCAACTTCTCAACATGAAATCTGTGCTCACAAACTAATCCGTATTCCCTCTTCCATACTGAAGTGATTTTTCACATAGACATACAAACCCACAGCTAATTCATCTGAGATGGCCACACAATTTGAAGGGATTATGTTCTACAAAGGAGCTTCTTATGGGGTTGAACTGTGTCTCAACACAATTGGAGTCCTAACCCCTGTTTCTCAGAACTTACGTGGAAACAGATCAAATTAAAATGAAGCCTCTAGGGAGGGTCCTAATCCAATGTTGCCAAAGTGTCATGATACAATGGATGTGGTAGAAATAGACAAGAGATACAGACATAGGGAGGATGCCGTGGGAAGCCCCAAGGAAAGCTACCACAGGCCAAGGATTGCCAAGAGGCACCAGAAGCTGGGAGAGGCAGAGGACTATCGCCATGGCCTCATCAAAGGGAACACCGCCTAGCCAACAGTCTTTTGGCCTCCTACTCTTGGAGGGGACACATTTCTGTTGTCTGAGCTATCCAGTTTGTAGAGCTTTGTTATGGCAGGGCCTAGGAAACTATAACAAAACTTAACCATTCCAATCAACATTGATGCATAAAGCACCTACTGCATACAGGGCTTTGGGGAGACAGACTAAAAAGGTGTTGCCCCAAAGCTGTAGATGTGTAACTATGCCTAAGCATATGTTACACACCCATTTCACAGCAACACAAGTCAAACAGGTGGAGTTCGTTGTAGCAGGTGGCTAGGTAAGGGGACAGCATGGATATCCTGAGTTTTAAGGGAGAAATAAAGCAAACCACAGGCTGTTTGAAGTGGTGTCATGGGATAAATGGGCTTTTTGAGGGGCTTGGAAGGACACAAACACTTCAGATAAACTGTGAGTCAGTTTGGAAAGGACTCTAGACAGGAGCTAGGGCCTTAGCACAGGTGCAGATGTCATATGTCTGGAAGTAACAAGTGAATTGGTCTGGTGGGAGCAGACCAATAGATTTTTCCAAAATGGAGAGATGCATTACTGGCTTGGTCTTAGACGCGCTGAGTTTGGGGCAGATAAGATTACTTCAGAGGAATTGGCTAGTAGGTCCATGTCCTGCATTTTGGCATTTATTTGGTGAGAACAAGATCTAGTTATTTTGCTCAAAAGGAGAGATTGCACCTTCTACCCTCTGTCCTAATTTTTCATTTTGCATGAGAAAGGGCCAAGGCCTAAGACTTAATGGCTTAGGTGGGTTAATTAAGGAAGAAGATTCCTGCGGGAAAAAAAATAAAAAAAAAAAAATAAAAACAGGATCCAAAAGAAGGAGAACTGGGCACTGAGCAAGAAAGGGTTCAGCTCTGGAGGAAACAAGAGGAGAGGGACAGAGGAAATCTGCTCAGGGAACAGAGAGCAGACTCCAGGGGAAAGGCAGGGAACTGGGTGTAGGTACCTTCCTCTCCCATTCTTTTGCCCCTTCCATCATTAATTAGCTCATGCCCTCCTGTTGTTAATATATCCTGCGTTGTGTCCAACATGAGTCCATCAGGTTCCCTGGAAGTGCATGGGACCCAAGCTGGCTCTGAGTGAAACATATATATAGCAACTAAACCTAAGAAGAGATGCCTATCTTCCATGGTAAACAGGAAGCGCGAACGTAGGATGTCTTAGGAGCCTTTCCAACAGCAAAGACACAGGTTCGAAACATTTCCACATGTGCACGCTTTTGTCCCAGTCTACATTGCTTGGGTTGCTCAGGACTTCCTAGGTATGTATTCACATAAATGATTGAGAATTCAGTTTTAAATATTGAAATAAGGATAATCCACTAACAAAATGGCAATTTTCTGGACAATAAAAATA